GCCTCTAGCACATGACAATCGTCCGCAAGACATGCCAGCAAGTTATTATAAATGATAATGTCCGGGTTTACGCCCTCCTGCTTCATTTCTTTGCACATTCTAAGAACCATTGCCGTGCTCTTGGAATTGGCAAACCCTGTAGACCTGAACTGGTAGCGCGCTATAGCACTACCACGTGCAGTTCCCTGAAAACTTTGGTCGGGAACGAAGGACCATGGTTTATTCCGAATTCTAGACGAGCTCGAGTGTAGAGCAGGCTTTGCTGCAACCTGTTGGGTGCTCTGACATCCTACACGGCGTTCAAAACCGCGTTTGTGAACGAGTGGTCGAATTTACTCACGGAAAAAGGTCACAGGTAGGGCTCCAGTGCACTCGGACTGGGATGACCATAAAGCAGCTTTCCTGGAGACTCTTTTAAGAGAGTTTCGCGATGTGGAAGCCAGCATCTTTGACTTTGACCAGCCCGCTTCCACAAAAATCCGTAAATTTAGGCCAATAGGCCAAACACAGTTCAATAACCTTCCACTGCGACACAGCCACCGCCTGACCAAGTTGTTCAAAACCGCGAGTCCGCGACCGGGTGCCTGGTCAACACCCTCTCTCTTTTCATTTCTTGTATATCACCTAAAGCTTGGATTATCATGGTTCGTATACCTTACTCCTGCAACTACTTGGTGGTGGCTCACTCCGGAAAAGTTTTACTCAGAAGCTATTTTATCGCGCCGTGGGCCACTGGCCAAAGTATGGCTGGCCGCACATATGGAGAGAAAGCTCTCCAAAACACAGACACTACAGACGGATATTGAACAGGCAGCGGGTGCGTCATTATCTGATCTGTTTCTGACGCGTTAAATAACGCTTTACACTCATCCCAGATGCCATCATGGGACAGGAGGTTGAAGTTATGGCACTGCGCCTAAGCGGACAGTTATTGCTCGGTGTTGTTCGAATTTACAGTCGAAAAGCGAAATATCTATTGGATGATTGTAACGAAGCACTCCTCAAAATCAAGATGGTAATGGCTTGTACTTTTGGTGTCACATAAATGTTGACCTCGTTCCAGGCATTCCGCCCAGGTGTTGTTGATATGACGGAAGATCAACTGGCTGTCAACCGCAATGCCATCACACTTCAAAGCAGCAATCTTGACCTGGACGTTTTACTTCCAGATATCAATTGGTGAGATCCTCATGCATTCTCTCGTCTCTTATCCCCCTGGCTCATATACTGAGCCAGGGACATCGATTTTGAGGACCGTATTGCTGAACCTCAAGGTCATCATGTTGCACGCCAAGCAGATATTACCCTTCAAACAGCCGACGACCTGCAATTTGACCTTGACGATCCTGGCTACGGCTTTGACCTCGGACCATCAGATGGTATCGGTTCACATGACTTTGGAGAGCTTGATCTTGGTCTTGACTTTGGAGACGGACCTGTCAGTGTTATCGACGGAAGCGTAGAAGTTGGTCGTGATGCCCCGACTCCACGAAGTGCTAGAGAGTCGTTGGACTCTAGAATGATGGGACAAGGTGGAGAGGGCGAAGATTTCTTCTCGAACAGAAGTAGAGAACCCTCCGAACATCCGTTTGGTGCCGACATGGATGTGGACATGGGTTTTGGTCCAGACATGGGAGTTATGGACATCGATTTGGGTATCGATTTCGGGGACCGCCCCTTGAGCGATCGTGAAAAGACACCCGGACAAACCAGGTCTCCTTCTCGAATGTGTACGCTGTGCTTTTATATTTTCTGCTTGACTTTTTTTGATGCCCAGTAAACAGCCTCTCCCCTCACCGAGCCTCCGCCAACACCACCGCCCGACCTTCTCCTCACACCAAAAGCAGCTGCACAAGAATTAGCTGACGAGGCTGTTGCTGCAAAGGCCAAGCGCAAGCCCAGAGAAAAAAAGCAAATCATCGATGCTGTTACTGAGCTCACTGATGGCCCGGGAGCCAGAGCTGGTCGTGGTCTAGGCGCGCCTGTCATCAAGGATGTCAGTAATATCCTTGCAGAACATCCATCTCTTCCTCGTTCTGCGATGGTGATGCGACTCATGGAGATCCGCGAGGATCCCCTTGCCTACTTTCTTCCCACCAAGGTTACGCCCGAAGGCACTTTCTTCCTTGCCGGGCCCCCTGGACTAGCGCCCGAATTATCCGACCTGTTCATGCGTCCTCTACAGACCGGCCTTCCATCGAAAAAGAGAGGTGCATCTCCTGACAAGGCAGGGAGGAAGAAGCCTAGGGTTGAAGGGAGCATACATGAGGATGAGCAGGTCGAACAAGCTCGGCGGGATGCCAGTATTGCTCCGAGCATTGCACTTGCCAGCGAAGCTCTTGGCGGTCGTGCCAGTATGGCTCCTGACGGTGGCTTCGACTTTGGCGACATGACGGGCGGTTTGGACGAGTTTCAGATGGATGTTGGTGGTGAATTCCCGGTGGCACATGACGAATTGGGATTGGAACAAGGCAAAGGTGCCGCAACAGAACAAAGTCGATCGTCCACGCCAGCCATCGATGGAGAAGAAGGTGACGAGACCTACGCTGATATGACATGCCCTATCGCGTCGTTCGATGTACGGCCCTCTCCCACTCAGGCTCAGGAAGCTGCTGGTGATGGTGAAGGCACAGGATATAGCAAGAACACAGTAAAAGCGCTGGGTATCATTCGTAAGGAGCTGAAACCCGAAGCCCGCGAGGATGGCGAGGAGCGAGTCATAAGCTTCCGCAGGATGACGGAGAAAGCTTCTCGGCGTGCTGCATCCGCATTCTTCTTCGAGCTTCTTGTCCTCGGAACACGGGACTGCGTGAAATTGACGCAGGGCGCTGCCTTTGAGAATATCGAAGTCCGCGCAAAGGACAAGTTGTGGGAGCGCCAGCGGCACGGATCTATCGCTCCATCTATTGCATCTGCCACAGGATTCTAAGTGTATTTATCTTGTTTTCTTTTGGATTTTTCAGATCTTGATTTCACGACTATCTACGATGTGGTACTAGGATTTTTTATCAGTTTATTCTATCTCGCGAGCTCGCTACACCAAGCTTTCAATTGTTTTGTTCTTTGTAGCTTTCCTGATTTATACTGTATCTTCCTATACATCCTAGAATTGTTTGCCTGGACCTGTACGTTCCGTTACCTATTACCAACAAGAATCGAGAACGCAGTCATAAACAAAGTCAATATTTATCGTATTGTCCTTTCGAATTCGCTCTTTGGGGAATGCATATCTTCACGAGGCCTGGACTTAACAAGGGTTTGCCGTAAGGGTGTTAGGGTTTGAAGGTAACGAGCAAGGTTCGACTGATAGCAAGGGATAGCTAACGTGGATTCTAATCTGATGCAGGCTGGGCCGGTGCAAATAGAGGATTATATGAGTACTAGTGGTATTACTGATATTATAGTTATATGGTGTTTTCAAGTATATTTGAGACGAGGCTTATGTAGACAAACCCATTTCTTGTTGTGTCACTACTGGCAGTCAGTGAACTGCTTGCCCATACTTCATTCGCTCAAGTTGGTTCGTAGGTCCACAGCCTGAAACTTCAAAAGAGACGCGCGAGACGATGTTCAGAAGTGGTTTCAAGTGAGAGTAAAGATACTCGGAAACATAGCGTAAACATGTTCAAGTGGGCCGGTAGAAAACAGCGCGTCTAAAAGGGCCGGCGGAAACGGCGGACCTACGGAGGTAACACTCACGTAGGGGCATACGCGAGTAGCTTGAGATATCGTAGGGGCCCCTTAGACTACCTAGTAGTGTCCGACATAGGGTACATTACCCCAATGTAAATTGGATTCAAAAACGTGGGCCAGTATATTATCACACAAGGACCAAGAGCAATACAACTACCGTCAAGGTACAAATAAAAACTACTCGAAGATCTGTGTTTCAAACTATATCAGTCGCCGCTCGTTGTGAGCGCACCATCCCCATGGGAAGCATAGAGCGCGTTTCGATCTTACTTGAGAGCTGAGTGAAGTGCAGTTGATGATTATAGACGGAGAGACGGGAAGACATTACTGAAATACTTACCAATGAACCAAGCACGCAAACCGACTTTCATATCATCATCAACCTTATCCATGATGGATTGATACGATTCGATGGCTGCTCCAAAACTACCTGCTCGAAAGAGTGCATAACACTGTTGCTGGTTTGCGGTTTGCCACAAGGACTTGAGGTCCCAGCCAAAGAGCTGCGGAAAACACATAGTTGAGCATGAATGAATTTTTGATTGCGTCATATCGGCGTACCGCGACAAATTCGTCGTATGTCAAATGAATTGACGATTTGTAAAGAAAGTGCTAGCATTGGCGGCGGCAGTGAAATGTTCAACAGCTTCGTTATGCCGTACATCATTTAAGGCAATGTTTCCCAGTTGGACGCGTAGGTAGGCCTGGTGTACGAGGGGTAAAAGAAATAAATGATAGTACGTGGACCTGGTGTGATCGAGCGCATCACACTCACTTCCACGATACGACAGGCAACAGGATCGACATTGGGACTCGCGGCTAGCTCTCCAATGCGCAGCATCGCCTCTTGATGTTCATTTGCATTGATCAATGCAATGGCCTAAAATCGCAATGAAGCGCGGAGTATGTGAGAAGAATATTAGTACCTGCCTTGATCAAGAAAAGCATGTGATCGATCTTTAAATCACCATTCGTAAACATGGATGCGAGGTCAAATGATATCCTGGCAGCCAAAACCTGCTTTTTTCCGCAGAGGGCAATGCCCTTGGAGATATGGCCCGTCAATGATGGCTGAATGCTGACGGACTATGCCATCATCAAGGTTAACTTTTATTAGGAGGTCATGCACACGATGGGCCAGTCAATCTCACCTGAACTGCATCTTGAAGCGCTCGGTCCCAGTAGCATTTTCGCGCCATAACAAATGCGCGATTGGCATAGGCAGTGTGACTGGCATCAGATTCAATATCTTGATTTAGCACTTTTTCAGCGATAGGGAAGTCCCCAGCTATGCACGCGTTGCGGGCTGCCGAGTTCATAGCGAGGACCTGCGTAAATCATGTTCACGCTGCGTTATAAGAGCCAAAGGTGGGAACATGCCTTGAAATCACAGTAGGCTTGAACCTTGACGTAAAAAAGATACTTAGATAATGAATGGGCGGGAAAATGAAAACAAATTTACCTGGCGCGTCGCTTGCTCCTTCATGAGGCCATCAGTTGGACCATCCTCTGACAAAGCATTCTCGGATATTGGCCACTCCGAGATCTTTTTATCCGCACCTCCACTGAGGATGTGTGTTTGTCACCCGCAGAGAACGTTACACAGTTCAGCTCCCCAGAGTGTTTGAATATGGCAATGTTTCGTCGATCTGAGAGTCGCCAGAGGCGGACACAATTGTCATGAGATGCAGAGGCGAGGAAAGTGCCGCTAGAGTTCAGAGAAATGGCATGGATAGTCTTGAAATGGCCCATCCAGGGACCATCGACCTGCTGCCAGGTCAACGTATCCCACGCTCGTATGGTGGGATCAACCCCGTTGCCCCCCAAAAGAAGCTGTGTGCCATCTGGCGTCCACGCGAGTGAGTAGTTGAATTCTCCCCAGATCGTCTGCAGCAACTGAGTGGGGAATGGAGGAGGTGGTGGTGGTGGTGGTGGTGGTGATGGTGGTAGCTGTGATGGTAGTTGTGTGCGATTCCACCTGTGGTAACCGCTATTAGATCTATCTGAAGTGTAGTTCTGGTAAATTTGAACATTGCAGTCCGTTGCAATCGCAAGAAGTGCTTGCGAATAGCGCGGCCGCGGCGCATACTGAACGCAGCGGACAATTCCACTACAACTAAGTGTATGGTGCACCTGCCATGATGATGTACTCCATAGCTTCGTGGTAGTGTCAGATGATCCACTGGCCAGCATCCTGGAATCCGAAGAAAAGTCAAGTGAAAATATCCAGCTGTCATGAGCTTTATTGATTGCTTGGTTGAATGGTTCCCCAGTTTTTCCATGCCAAATGATGAGCTCTCCGCTCTCATCACCGCTTGCTATCCATTCTCCATCTGGTGAAACAGCCAACGCCCGCACCCGACTGCGATGCCCCTCCATCTTCTTCAACACTACACCTGTTTTCAAGTCCCACAGACGAAGCGTCCCGTCATACGAGCCCGTGACCATGCGTTCGTCACGATCGCGGAAAACCGCCAGTGCGATCACGCGATCCTTGTGATCTTCGAATACTCGAATGGGTGTGGTTTTTGGAATGAGCGTCGCCATCTTAGTGGCTGCAGTACAGTTGAGGAAAAGTTGGTGTATGGGGATGGCGTCTTGCTCGAAGTTACAGAGATGCGTGTGATGGGGTGTTTTAAAGCTGCTTTATAGCATTACTCCCTCACTAGACGCCCAAAACATGAGGCAGTTATCACAAGGACCTTGCTTGACAATCTGAACGAATGGGCTCATGCGTCCAAGTCGTGTCGCCGCAATTGTCCATATCAGTCAACGAGCCTGATCGTAATTGTTTCAAGGGTCCACGCGGCAGATAGGAAGACGACATACACGGTTCACCCGATTCACCTGATTGGCCATGCCCTCGAATTTTAATTAAGTCACCCCAAAGACGTAGTATTCCACCCGGTGACACTTTGAGCTTCTGTTCCCTGGAATGTTCGTCGCGGAGATCCTACGATTACGAGGCTTCCTTTGATCTCCTCTGGTTGTTAGCATCATGAGTATGTGCGATTTGCCATTAGCATTGAAGATAATCAATCGTTTCAAACTCTGATTTGCGGTGGTTGAGGATGGTAATCGGTCACGGTATGGCGATGACCTTCTAGATGGGCCCACAAGTTCGTGTTTCCACTCTAGCTGAGAGTATATTCCGTCGCACGACTGCAACCGCGACCGACCAGCTGTGTCCGGCCACCGGTAGGGTAGTTTACGGAGAGGACTTGCTTCAGAACCCAAGTCTCGTGACTTTAGCAGGTCCCTTTTTCGGTCGTTTCCGAACCGAAAAGGGAATGTCTCTGCACTTTCCGGAGAATCCCGGTGTCTCGACTCAATTTCACCGTACCAGTCAGTTTCACCGTGATGTGCACAATTACCATCTGCTCGAGTCGACTTTTGGCGTTAGAAGAATCAAGCTGTCTATCAGTCGACCGTGACGTTGATCATCACTTATGTCTCATGTTAGTCTTAAATGACGGAATACCTTTGATAATGCCGTTATTCCCCCCGAAGGCCATATAACTTGAATACCATTGGCACTAATTCATGCTCGGCCGTTGGTCGCGCCATTCGCATTAGGACCAGGTCAGCTTTTCAACCCCCTGACTCCCGCTCCTTTTGCATACTTTCTGCTGTCTTTAAGTCTGAATCAGAACAACCAGATCCTGTCCTTTCTTTATCGACGATGTATAGTACTAGATGTGCCTTTTTACTCGCATTCGCTTCCTTGGTGGTGGTCAACGCCCAGTCACTGTTCCCATCATTGACCTACAATTTAATCGTCTCACATATTGGTTATGACTTTCTAGGTAATTTCTCTTGGGAGACAGCGGACGATCCAACGAACGGCCGTGTCAACTATGTCGACAAAGCCACCGCTCTCAACGATAATCTGACTTTCGGTATGTGTCTCCTTTCGCGCTCAATTTATTCGCTCAATTTTTCGCAGTTTCGGACCACAAGTTTATCATGCGCGCTGACGACACGAAGAAAGTTGCAAAATCTGCCCGTGGGCGAGACAGCGTACGCATACATTCGCTGGATGCTTACGACGACGCCTTGTTTGTCCTCGACATATTTCATATGCCCGAGGGTTGTGCAACGTGGCCTGCGTGGTGGACATTGAGTGAGGAAGGGCCCTGGCCTTACGGTGGCGAAATTGATATTATCGAAGGCGTCAACCTCGGTCAAGGAAATCTTGCCTCACTCCACACTACACCGAACTGCACTATGCCCAAGGCTCGATCACAGAGAGGGTTCGCTATTTTATAACCGTCATACGTATTATTCGCTCAAGTTGGTCCGTAGGTTCACAAAGTCCACCTCGTGCGACACATCCGTAAACTCCAACCAGGGTTGCGGTGTCTCTTTTCCTGATCAAGATTCTTACGGAACAAACTTCAACGCAATGGGCGGTGGCTTTTATATCATGGAGAAAAGCAGCACGAAGGGTGTCTCAGTCTGGTTTATCACTCGCGACAGCTTGCTGCTTCTCGGTGGCGAGCCCGTCCTGGACTTGGTGCTTCTATCAACACCTGATGCGTACTTCCCGACGGTTAACAACTGCGACTACTCCAAACACTTCAATGCACATAGCATTGTTTTTGATCTGACATTCTGTGTGAGTGTCCTTTTTATGTTCTGCGGCGTCATTATGACCTATCCATCAACTTTACAGGGCGACTGGGCTGGGTCCGAGTCGGTGTGGAATGCGTCCACATGTGCGACCAAAGCCTCTACTTGTAACAGCTGTAAGCCTACCTTTTTTTCATCACTCGCAACCCTGACACATGACTATCGCAGTTGTTGACAACAATCCCAGCGAGTTCACCGAAGCCTATTGGGAAATCAACTCCCTCAAGATATATACACCTCATGGTCTTTTGCGTTAGTTTGACGCCCGCGTTCGGTTTTGTCTCCCTTATACCATACTATCCAGCTATTCATGTAACAAGTCCGGAAGATCATTTCACCATCATAGAAGTCTGTCATCTAGCCCTTGCATTGTTTACGGTACTCGTTAGATACCCTGGAGGAATACAAGTTGTCAATGGATCATGTGCATGGAGTATATCACAACACGTTCTTCGTACGCACTTACTTTATCACTCATCATACACACAGTCTTTTCGCTATCCGTCTCAACGATACCTTTTTATTATTCCTCCTTTTAAGTCGTCTCCCCGCAGTCCTTCAATCGAAGACTGAGGTGGGCCTTTTATTTACGAGTCTACTATCACGTACAGTTTCTGATCACCTATGTAGTCTCCCCTTCGTCCCTAGGTATACCATTTGTTGTTGTCAATTTCTCAATCGAAGACTTCGTTCCTAGTCCGAGCCTCTCTTCGTTCGAGAGAGTATCATCTGAGCTTCGATTATCTAGCTCGTGCCGATCATCTCAATTGCTTTCTACATGGTGCTCGTTCTCTTCGTTATTCGGTGCATCATACCTGGATGCGACTACATACTAGTACCGCTGGTCAGTACTAAGTAGTCAGTAGAATCCGCCAGGCTATATTTAGCAAATTTGGATGGTTTTGTCAGCCACATCCTGGTACTACACTAGTACTTATGACTCCATAGCTCTAGCTGTTCTACACTTTCTACCACCAGGTCAAACCATCAGGATGCGGTTCTTCAAATCGTTTCGATTACTGCACCGCCGTACAAGGTCTGAGGGCGATGTGTCCCACATGATTTCCTCTCCACCATCGTCGACTGGGTCACCTTGTTCGATGGAGTCTCGACAGATCCAACAATATGTCAGGCCTACATCGTCTAGCCTAGTCAGCGGATCAGCGGCCCCGGTATTTGTATCCCTTGAGGCCTCCCTCCCTTCATTCGACCCCGCTCAACTTTATCAACCCCGGCCAACACCTCTGGACATGTATACTGGTAACTGCATTCACCAGCCCGAAAGCGATGTTTTCCGCCTGCGTCAGACCAACACCGAACTCGCAGCTGACCTTGCAGATGTCACTAACGATCTTTCGCGGACCCGCAACGAACTCTATACTGAGATGACCAAACTTGCCCGCTTCCAGCACCAGCTTGCGCGTGGTATGGACCACATTCAGAAGCTTGAATCAAGATTTCAGCGTCTTGCGGGCCTTCTCGTCGACATTGGCATTCCCTACTTTACCGTTCAGCGGATCTCCGATGCACTGGACTCTGATCTCGGCACCGCAGATCATATCTTGGTCGATGCTATAGGTGACGCTGTCCACGACCCAGAAGCACTGCTCTCAAGCTTGAAACCGGCAGTCATCGGCAACGCTGTCCTAGAACAGTATCAATCCGCGCTGCACATGACTCTCAGCGCGCGGCGCAAAGTCTGTGTACAAAAGAAAGTCTCCAAATTCTGGAAACGCCTCGCTCAGGAAGATGACCGCCACACAGACACCGTCACACCGTCCTCGTCCAATATATCCTCTGTCCGCGAGCCTCTAACACCCGCCCGTCAACACGCTGTCGACTCCCTCATTGCTCGTAGGCGAGATGCAAATGCAGGCTCTGCTAGATATGCATTTAGTGGGGCTTCTGTGCAAGGTGGTTTGGTTCTACCCGTTTCTACCTCTGACATTGGATCTGCGACGAGTTCTGCATCTGGATCGACTATACAGTTGCAACATACTCCGCCTTCGAGAGCACGATTTTCGATATCTGAACTACGTCGACGCTCGCCCCCCATGGTTTTGGGTGACATTGATCTCAACGTTTCCCAATCATCGGATGGACCTCCAGAAGCGGCTGAACCTGATGATTCAGAACACGATGGATCTGACGACCAGAATGCACGCCCAACAGTAACTCTTAGCCAGGACCTCATTCAGGTATGTCAAATAAACACATTCTACATTCAAAAGATAGTGATGATGATGCCAACAGAATTTGAATCGCGTTGCCCTCGGACGCGGACACCGTCGTAACTCCTCGGCTGTATCAAGGTCAAGCATTCCGTCCCACCTCTCCGATTCCACACCCGCCATCTCCTCTCTTAGCGCCTCGTCGGGCCTACCCACGTCCTCTTGTGGCTTTAGTTCCGACGTGCCGTTTGACAATTCCGCATTCCATAGTCTGCTTTATGGTATTGGTAGCACTCCAACGAACTCAGACAGGCGCAAATGTTCCAATACACTTATAAGCACCAAGAGGAACTCGCGCTTCCTCGAGCATATCAACGAGTACTCGACCGGATCCCTTGCTATCCTTGAGTCTGCAGATTCTTTGGGATTTATGAACTCTACTGGCTCACTTGCTGTTCTCAACACTACGGATTCCACCACCGCAACGTCCCCTGGACTCTTCTGCACCAGCATGGAAAGCAAGGACTCGTTGTTCATGTCTACTCAGACGCCCACAACAGGGCCTACCACGCCGAGCAAGACACCGCCTACAGAAAGCAGGACACCCTCATCTAGTGGGAGCAAGCTGCCCGTATTGAGACACTTGCATAGTCCTGATGCTAGTCCTGATGCCTTCAAAGTTTCCATACGCAACCCTGGGGGGATCATAAGACGGTTGTCGCCAAGCCCTGAGAGCTTCGTACGAAAGCTTCGGAACTTTGGTTCTCGTGACGGGAGCGAGAATGTGAGTCCTGAGAAGCCGTCTGGGATTCCTATCATGCAGCGTAAGATGACGATCAGGGGGCGGGTGAGGAAGTGAGTGGTTGTAGTATCATGGGTGGATTTCGGATTTCGATCGATTGCTACTATCTTTTCTCTCCTTATTTGTTGTAAATACTTGGAGGTCATGCCATCTTCTCTTTTTTTCGATACATTTTCTTGCAAGCAGTCGGTGGTCTTGAATGGAGTCCGAGTCAAATATTAGCCCTGCTTCTTATAAGAGGAAAGGCCAAGGTGTGCAACACTCGTCAAAAACCTTTGAGTCATGCAGTGCTGGTCCCCGCATGCACCACGTGTCTGTAGCATCAGAGCAGCTTCGCGCAACATGGCCATATCGTTAGCATTTCGCACAACAAATGGGTTCCTTCTTGTCTTTTTGAATGGTAATGTGCTCGTTTTTGATACAGAGGCCGTCGCGTAGGAGAGTGTTGGCCGTATGAGCATCAGCAACTTGGAGAAGGGCAAATGCCTTTCTTTGCTGGGGTGAATGACAGGTGGGGAGTTTGATCCAGCGGATGGAGGCTAGCGAGTTGGTCAGAAGTAAGTTCTCCTCTTCTACTACTCTCCCGAGGTGCTTCGGGAGCTCAACCGTTACTTCAGGTCCACACGTCAGAATCGACATGGGTACTCATCTGAGGCCTCTCGCGGGGATTCCACCCGGTCATCAAGTTTAAAACCAGCTACTTAAGGCTGGTCCCAGACCACCGCATATTCCCACATGGGGCAGGGTGCTTTTCATCGGTGCCAGAATCTATCTTTACCACAGGCCATAAGAGCACCTGCTCATCGTGGATTCGTTATCCTGACTAACTCAATAGATGCTTAGGGCTCTTTTCCCCATTAACATCGTCACTAGCCTTCGGAGGCATATGCCGGTTTCCCAGTTCTGCCCAAGGTGAAGCCAAATCTAAAGTGGATCGGTCATTGCTCCCACAAGGTCCATGAGGACCTGATTCAGCCGAACTGCTACCCATAGGCACTCCTAGGTAGACCAGACCTTGATGTCTGGTGGCAGGCAGTAATTTCATACCCTGCTCTTGTTGTGTTGTCCATGGGTACCAATTTAATGGTGAACCAGGCTGGCGTTGAAGTCGTTGCCCGACAGTGCCCAAACAGCATGATAGCCGAAAGGAGATACCGGGACGGGTAAAGGGAGAGTTTCTGATGTTTCCTCTTTATACCCTGCGACACGTCAAGTCCCCGGGAGGACACAACAGTGTGAGATCGGCGTGTTGTCTCGATCTCAAGAAATAATTGATTGGTTGCTTGAGTGGTCCAAGCTACCTATCAGTTAGAACGAGCACATTTCTCGTTAATGTTCAAGTTGCGCGCTGAGAAATTCGTAGCCGCTGTTGGCTGTCATTCATACCTTCTTATTGTACTCATTTCATAACGCGGATCAGTACCGAGTACTGGGATTTGATCAGCCTGCCAAGGTAGACGACATTGGGATCGATATAGAAGGCCGATACTTGTAGGGGGTTAAGTCACGGTTACGGTCGCAAGTAGGTATACGAAAACAACTTGGAGCCCATGGCCATGGCGCATTGCGCGGCGCGTGACTGCAATCTCATTTTGCTATAGCACTGGCCCGGCCCGCCCGGGTTGTGTCTGGGGTGAACCAACTGTCAAAATCAAAGTTCAGTCAAACGAGCTGCAAGACGCTGAACCTACCGGTGTTTAAAGCTTCGATCAGCGCATAAACTTGACTTCGCAAATCGTCGGTTCACTGATAGACTGCGTATATTGCAGGTTACAGTGTTGTTCAGAACGTTCAAGGCGCTATACACTTGTAGGAAGTTGTGTCACAGATACGGTCGGACTCCGCCGAGTTACAGTGTCATTCAAAACGTTCGAGGCGCTTCGCCTGCCCGACCTGAGCTAGTTCTAGAGCGACATCCACATCAGTGGACATAATCAAATCACCTTCATCAGCAAAAGGGGTGAGATGAATGCTTGCTTGAGCGCGTTACGGACAGTACTTGTGGACGTATTAGATTCGTAACAGTCCGCCTGAGGCAACCCGTCGATAAATATTGATAAAACCGATTTGAACATTGAATTTGGATAAATTGAATAGGCGCTTTGGAGTCGTCACATGACGACAAACAGGCTGACGGGAAAACCCAGAAAGTCCGAATTTCCGGCAGTCTCCGCTGCATGCGGGTCTGTCCGGATCCGTCTGTGCACAACTTGTCAGTTCTTAACGTCGCATCATACAATGAGCTCATTTTTATGACTGGTTACTGTCTCTAACACATCAACTTAGCAATCTCCCAGCCTTACCTTGCCTGATGATTACATCTTTGTGTAGCTGTAGATATGGTTTGGGCTTTTGCCTGTCCTTCTCGTGCACCGGGCTGGCCGGCTTTCCTCTGCTACAGCTTTGTGCTCACCCACTATCAATCATCAACCGGCTCATGACTCACGAGGGTATCTCTGAAATAGTTCTGGCCAAATCTGTGCAGCTGTAGTTCGGATGTTCGTGTAATGTATTAGTGTTATACTCCTTGACTTGTGGGCCGGACAGATCCAGCCGGACTCGGCCGGACGGACCCGGAAATTCGAATTCCCAGATGCCCTGAAGCCTTAGACATTGCTTAGATAAGTAATTGCATACAACGCCCACTGTCTCATTTTGTTGAAACTTGAGAACGTCGACCTCTTCCTGTTTGCAGACTGAGGTTTGTCGTATCGATGATGCTAGACATACACTTTCGACTCGAAGGCAGACAATCGGAACCATCTTGATCGTCTACTCAAGGCTTTCAGGATCAAACATTGTCATCAAGCTCTCCGTTCATTGTCCTTCGTCGCCTGGTTTACTTTTTTTTTTTTTTTGCTTTGTGTCGCTTCAGGAAGCTTACATGGTCATGGCTTACTGTGATATGGGCGGGAATCATGCCTGGAGGATATCTTTATCTGTTCTTACCCGCCGACGCTTTCGGTTGTAATCAGAGCTCGACAGACGATGAAGACACATGTTGCCCCGTCTTTCGTGGACAAAGAACAACGCTACTATCAATCAGGTATCCTTGAAACATAGCGTGTTGAGCAACCTTACAATTCAGGTTTCACTATGGGAGACAAACGACTCACGCTACTTGGCATAGAGGACGATACTCCGCACGCCGAGTCCGCATTATCATCGGCGTATCAAACTGCCGTCGGCGATGAGGAGACGCCCGACAAGATCATTCACCTCGCAGTTAGTCTTCGGTTTTGCAGTTGTGAGAGGGTCGTTGGCACGTTGTAATCGACGATCCTGAAACAACATGTTATAGAAGCTTCCTACGAGAAGATGTTCGAGAATTTGGAGGGTGATCGTGTCATAGTGAACTGTACGACGGCGGCCTCGCGGACACTTAAACTGTTGAACATGCTACGTGCACCCTGAAGAAAGTGCCGCTCGATCGAGCAGAGGATGGTTTTCATTCATATTACCAGTGTGTATGATCCAGCTGCGCCTGCATAGGACCGCAAGCTGGTTCCCTTTCGTTAACAAGTGCTTAATTTAAATTGCTCTTGTACTGTGTTTTGTTTGAGAAAAGGCCGTGCTATCATATCCGGATATTTCTTTATGCATGCTGCAGCGTGCTAAGTGATTGACACAGCCACTTATAGAAGCTCTCCTTCTGCTCAGTCAATATTCAGTACTATCTACGCCTGTAGACCAAGAAAAGCCACAGTCATGCATATGCTAACATCTATCAGGACATCAAATGGGAAGATCGAGATCATCGATCAACTGCTCTTGCCACACACAACAAAGTACGTGGAAATCACCTCTATCGAACAGGCCTATGATGCCATCAAAGACATGAAGGTCAGAAAGAAAAAAATACATATCCACTCCGCGGTTTCTGATGAATAATAGATTCGTGGTGCTCCGGCCATCGCATCGTTGGCATCGCTAGCTTTTGCTGCTTACATTCAAACCGGTCTCGATAGTGCTCAACCACCAGCCTTCCTCCTGTCACCCGAATCACTTTCCGCACAGGTGATCCAGAAACTCGACTATCTCTCCGGCGCACGTCCGACTGCCGTTAATTTAGGCGCAGCAATTCGCCGCCTGAAGGCTGTCCTTCAGTCTTCTATAGATGCTGGAAAGTCTGTCCCACTGATCGCAGCAGACTTGATCAGCGAAGGAAAACTTATAGCCGATGAAGATTTCGACCGCAATAAAAGAATGGCAGAGCATGGCGGTGAATGGCTTGCAGAACTTGAAAGGGGATCTGGAGGCAGTGGTCAAGGACTTAATGTCCTCACCGTGTGCAACACAGGATCCCTTGCGACATCGGTATGGCATCTCTTAGCTAATGTATCCATTTTTGACAGTGATAAATGTGTCACAGGGCTACGGTACAGCTCTGGGCCTGATTACCTATCTTCACGAGCAAAAGAAGCTAGGTAAAGCATACTATACCCAAACCGCACCGTACCACCAAGGGTCCCGGTGAGCCGCCGATCGGTCGTTGTATCGCCAAGCTTTTGCTAATACCTCATACCTCACAGCCTCACAGCACTAGAGCTCAAGACAATGCAGGTCCCCTCAGTAATGATCTGTGACACAATGGTTGGTTCTTTATTTCAACACCATAAGATCCATGCCGTCGGTAAGAACCATTTGAGTTCAGCGTTTCTTTCGATCATCTGATCCTTCCCCTTCATAGCGGTTGGTGCCGACCGAATAGCGAGGAATGGTGACACTGCGAACAAAGTACGTCATACTTGTTAACCAAACTCAGAGTCATCAGAGGATATTATTACCCGTGCAGATCGGGACTTATAATGCGGCCGTACTTGCGGCGCGGCATAAGATCCCATTTATTGTTGTTGCCTCAATTAGCACTGTCGATCTCGATACCCCGGACGGTTCAAGCATTCCGATCGAGCATCGCAAGCCGCTCGAAGCTTGCCTCGTGCGCGGGGCTGTTCATCCCTTTGAATTTGATGTCGAAGGAAAGGTTAGGCAGGAAACTGTCATGATTACCCCGAGCGGCCTCGAAGGGATATACAATCCGAGCTTTGATGTTACCCCAGCTGAATTAATCACCGCGATTGTCACAGAGAAGGGCGTCGCAACTAGGAAAGAGGGCGAGACTAGTTTCGATCTAAGTGGAGTTGTATGATCTTACGAGATACCGACTAGAAGTAAAATGTACTTGTACCCACGCGACGGATCAAAACTTCAGCTAGTGGAAACTAGCTAGTGCTAATTGTTTCTGAGATACTCCAAATCGGTGTTACGGTCTTTATTCAAAGTGATATCTAGAAATCAAGGCTAATCGTCAATTTCTCTAGTTGAGCTGTTTTAAGAAATGGGCAGTACCGTACTAAACCCCTCCGGACTCGGTTTTCAAGTGTCCGATGGAACAACTGTTGGTTGACGAAAAATATTTTATTTTCCCCTGCGTCGCAAGTCAATCTAGCTCATTAAGTGTCACTGACAGTCGTCCCGCTGGGTGGCCCGGGGTAGGCCAAGTAAGTACTACAACATGATTTCAACCCTTTGCCTGAGCATCGTGGGTCAGACTGGGATCATGGACCATCTGTTCACCTTACCCATGGCACAACTTTGAAAGCAGTAAATTTACGTGCCGTAAATATTCCTTGATTTACCGCGGGGATTGGATGACGAGCTCTGATCTGGCTTATTCGACTAGGGTATAGTCCAATTCTACTAGTAATCGAATCATGTGTCCGACACAGATGGGACTTACTTCTCGAGAGTAATGACTGCGGTGCTCGATAACGTGTGATCGGCGGAAGTCCATAAAGAGACTCAGAGAACGTTAGTGCGACCACCGCACATGACAACAAGGTAGCAGTAGTAGTACATGGATGATATACTTTACAAATGATGACCAGACGAACATGACTAATAATAGCCACGACAGTAGAAATGGTTGTAAACCGAATAAGGCAGGTGCTGTAATTAGAGAATCACATGCAAAGAGTGTTGTCCGGTAGTCCATGCTTGTCCCACTGCCCCTCCTTACTCGCAACTCATCATGATCGACTATCTTCTAGGCAGGCCAAGTCCATCTTGGAAACGCACTCAGGTAGTGACAACTATAATCTGGCGCATCCCTTTGCTTATCAGTGAATACAAGGTCTTTCTTGTCATCATCTTCTGGATTTGGCGGTTGGTGTACGGTAGCCCTAATGCTCCACGGTTTCTGTGGCTCAGAAGAGCCAATAGGCGTCTGCGTGAGTGGGACATATACATGTTTATAGTCTCCAATTACATACTGCCTTTAGAACGTTTCTCGCCTTGGCAAATCATCGTTAGTACACTTACTGCGGTGTATGCTGCTCGAAATTTGGACAAGATTACTGGTTTTGGAGGTAAGTCTATCAGCCGTTGATTTATCTCATCTGAGCTTGAAATCTCGCAGCGCCGGAACCTCTAGCTCGTTTGGTGAGTCCCTGGCCTTTGTTGGTGTCTGACACTGTCATAACCGTTGTAATGCAGTACTCGCCCTCATACTACCGTGCCACATGGATTGCGATTGGACTTGATGCTGGATTTGCTACTGCTATGTCCATACGCCCTAAATGGCTTAAAGACTTCTGCTCTATCTTATTCTCCATCTATTATATCATCTACGCTAATGAAGCTGACGAAAAGGTACTTCTTGTGCATGCCACTAATGTCAATACTATTCACAGAACACGTCCGTAGATCCGTAGGCACAGAGCTGTTCCGACTGTCGAGATGCTCAGAACTACCTGGGAGAAGACTACTAACCCATATGTAAGATATCCTCGTATTGATTTGAGGCTCGTCTAAAAACGTTTCTAGCTCCGTTTAATTGCGCTGACGCCGCAAATGTCTCTGTGCAAGAAATTTCTACTGCCAAGGCCTATCACGTCGACATACGACCGTCCTTTAAAGGTGCATGTGTACTTTGCGCCACCTGCTGTTCAGCTTCAGCAAGCCACGGATCTCATACTTGATTTCCCGGGTGGTGGGTTTGTCGCAATGACCCCAGAACATCATGATGAGCGACTGCGCTCCTGGGCGCTACGCACAGGCAAACCAGTCCTCTCCGTCGAGTACGGCAAGGCACCGGAATGTAATGTCAACATAATGTGCCTGTTCTCACCTCACTAACGTATTCTAGATCCATATCCTTTCGCGATTGATGAATGCTTCGATGTCTATCGGGTCATTTCTATGTCCGCTGGACGATGCATAGACATGTCTGGTAAGAAGCTTAACATCATATTAACGGGAGACTCTGCGTACGTCGATTCATGTGTAGTTGCATACCGCTGATTCAGGGTCATTCAGCGGTGCAACACTTGTGGTGGGCGTGATGACCAAGATTTTACAACACAATGCCGCGCTCCCCGCTTCTACAGCTCCTCTTCCCGCGCCTGTCGCACTCGTGCTGAGCTATGCAGCGCTCGACTTCAATTTTACCTCGTGGATGTCTCCTGAGAACCTCCAGGTCCTGCGCTCCGAGCAATCCTCGGGTAATCTTCCGGGCATACATGAGTTAGCATCGCAGAAAGACCACTTGCAACACGTCAGCCCGTTGAGTATGGTGGGAGACCGCAAACATGGGTCCGGACGCCGGAAATTACATAGACGCAGGAGCTGGAAAGATGCGCTATTGGATTTTACAGGGGTAGACGCTGATGCTGTCAGGTCGAAGCCGGTGCCAGCTCGGCACCACTCTACCTTGGGAATGAAGAAAAAAAGCTCCGTGGTATCGTTTGGAACGCGTGCTGGGAGAGATAGCGCGCGAAGTAATCCATTGCGACATGACGATAGTGGTTTTTGGGCGGGTTCTGAAAGCGACGAGGACGAGCCTGTGAGAGAGGAGGACCGGGCACTTGAGGATCGTGTGCGTTATGTGTACCCTGAATGCGTCAGCAGCGGCGACGGTGCACACTTGCATCAGAGGCTCGAGAAACAGCAGGAAAAACTCTCTGCAGCTGTAGCGGAGGCTGATAGTAAAGCGTCATCTACCAAAGGCGAAGACAAGAAACGGGAACTGATTGGCACCCGATTGACGATGACTAGCCGCACAGGGTATTTCCAGGATAGAATTATACCTCCCAGTATGGTAAGTTTGATTAGTGTTCAAATCCCATTGGGTATTTATTAAACTCCACAGATGCGGGCGATGGCCATCCTCTATATTGGTCCCCACCATAATCCGGATTTTGCCACTGATTACTTTATCTCGCCCATCCTCACGCCCGCGAAACTTCTAGCGCAATTCCCCCCACTTCTAATGCAATGTGGTGAAAAGGATCCATTTGTGGACGATACCGTCATTTTTGCAGGGCGTGTCCGGGAGGCCAAACGTGCGCGTAAGATTGAATTGGAGCTTGCACTTTCTGGGAAGAGTGCTCGATTTGGGGAAACGCTCCAAATGAGCTCCGCGCACCTGGAGAGCAGCGAGGATTTGGAGAGGTTGAGGAAAGAGAGGGAGCAACTTGCGAAAGAGACGGAGGACGACTGGGTGCAGATGGTGTTGTTCTCTGATTGGAGCCACGGGTACCTTCAGATGATGTCCCTGATGAGTGAGGCACGGGCTGTGGTGGAAGATTTGGCGGACTGGATGGAGGATGCGTTTGTGAGATACGGCGGTAAAGAGAAGGGCAGCCCATGCGGCAGGGTTGAGGTCAAGCCTGTTGATAATGGTGGAACAAAGAAGATCCGGTCACGGAGAAACTCGCCGCAATCATCGTCTGGTACTTCGAAACGGGTGAATGGGGACGTACACGCCGATGGTAGCCCTAGCCCGTTTACATCTGAAACGGAGACGGACGACTCGGGTATCACGTTTGTGGCTCGAAAGCGGCTTACTATGACGCAGGGAAGCTCTGTTGGATCGACGCCTCTGATGAACTCACGAAGGGGATCTGGTGAGCTTGTTGAGAGTGTGTTGGAAGCGCAGAAGTTTGGGCAGTTGCGTCGTGGGGATGTTGACACAGCGAGTAGTACGACGCCTCAGAGCGGTACGCCTCGTGGAGGGAACGGGAAGATAGGGCAACGGATCACGGAGAGTGAGTTATTGAGACGGAGGAGGTTATTGGATGCACATATCTTTGAAGGACCACATAGTTTGAGATTATAATAATTGCTGTGCACGGGTAGAAATGGGAACCGGGGCGTGGGACACAGCCACCCTTGAATTGCTTCAAGATCTTTGTCAATCCGGTACGTACGTAGGTGGGTTGCACTGGTTTTTTGTTTAGTTCTAATCTTAAATCACTGAGGCTGTGTCATCTTCCTTCAAATAGCGCCAGGAGAGCGCTCCAGATTCAGTCATCCGCTTCCCCACCCGTTGTCCTGAAAAGTCTCAGCATCCGCTTCTGTTCAGAACCTTCCGTTGATCTTAAGTACAACCTTTCAAATCAAAGAAGCCCTCTATTCCCTCGCCTAAATAATAAAAAGGTCCTATCAATCATGAACCTGGATTCGACACGGGTTCACTGGTCGACATCTCCCACATCTCAACAAGAATTTCAAGCTTATAACAATCACCAGTTTATTTCAACTGAACCCACAAACATGTCTCAGCAACAGCAATCCTTTCCTCCAGGCGCAGGTCCGAATGACGCTCCTCAAGACCAATATCCTCCAGGTCACGCGTACAGGAGGAGTCAGTCAAACTCTCCGTTCCGACACACCACACATCCATCACCGTATCCACAACCAAACATTCCACCAATTCAACCTCAACCGGAGCTAAAACAGGAGTCATACTACACCCCAACCTCCGCAGAGTTATACACTCATGCTCAGGTCCTCGCATCCGGTGCAGCAGAGGGGTCTGCTTCCGCCCATTACACTTCCCAAACCGCTATAACTCGTCTCCCCCCTATTCTACAAGTAGAGAAGAAGCAGGTCACCACATCCGCAACACAGGCTGCAAGTGCAAGTAGGCGAAGAAATGAAGCTCATTTCGCCTGTCCGGTCCCGGGTTGTGGGAGCACATTTACGCGTCGATTCAATCTTAGAGGTGCACAATTACATCAATATTCTCTCTGCATTCTCTAACCAATTCACTAGGTCATCTTCGATCTCACACCGAGGAACGTCCATATGTGTGCGAGTACCCCGATTGTAAGAAAGGCTTTGCAAGACAGCATGACTGCAAGTGAGTCTTACTCCATCACAATACTCTTCGATCATACGTTTGTCTTCGGCCGACCGTTGTTCCTTATCGCGTCACCGATCCTCTCCACATTACTGACTCACCTATGACATGCTCACGTCATGATCTACACAGGCGACATCAAGCACTACACGCCACGCGCTCCCAATCCAACATCTGTCAGGGCTGCAAAAAGACCTTCAGTCGCCTGGATGCCCTAAACGTAACTTCTCTATATCGTTACCAACTCACATTAGCTAACGTCCATCCCCCTTCTGCTTTCATCCAGCGACATCGTAAGTCACTATTCCCGTCGTTATTGACACTCGAGTGCTTACCACTCCGCGGTATAGTTCGTTCCGAGGGTGGTTCTGAATGCAGACAGATTGTAGAAGCTCAGCAGCAGGCTGCAGCACATGCTCAAGCGATCACACAATCTCAGGGTCCTCCACTACCCGACCACCCTCCCGGCAATCAACCAGGACCTAGCTCAAGCACTGCCAGTTAGAGTTAGTGGTTGAGACCCATGGACAGTTGGACTCCCAGAACGCTTTTAGATATTTCTCTTTCATGTTTTCATGATTCCTCTTTACACTCAGGATGTAAGATTACCTGAGCTATAGGCTCATCATCATTCATTCCCACTGATGTATACACTCTTGTATCGATTCCTTGGGCTTACAGTTAATATACTTTGCTCTTAATGTTACCCCCAATCATTATTGCCACGATCCGTGAGAACTTGGAGAAACACGTGAGAAGTGCACCCTCGGCTATCATAGGGTGTCGCTGCATGACTTGGTACTCATCCAACACTTCTCTTCCTCTCCCATCACAATGTCCCTTGCAATGCTCGTCGGTGGGGCTGAGTGCGGCCCATCGAACCCACTGCAGAGCCTGTCCAAAAGGTTCGACCAAGACCGCGGAGTGCAGCAGGTGCGTGCGGGGTTATGGGAAGTCCTAGGGTCACCAACCATTCTACCCCACTGCAGGATCTCATCGGTGGCACGCGTGCAAGTTCATCTCGAGAGGTAATAATAAAACCTCCTAATCAAACAAAACCCCGATAACATCACACGCAGGTTTTCCGCACCCAACAAGCTACTTCACCTGAACTACAACAGCATGCGGAACGTTTCTTTAATTCGACGCATGCGCCCCCGGCCCAGCTTGTAGTCCCTCAGCCTTTCAATCTGGCTGGATTTCATGATGCTCTTCCGCAAGTTCAAGCATCCATTCAATCACCGCAGACCCAGAACCCATTTCCCTCGGGCTGGGCGAGTGATTTTTTGGTACACCAGGTGCAGACGCCTGCATCTGCGATCAATCATATCGAGTCTCAGCAGGATCGAATGCAGAGTCCTATTTCTGTGCCTATAACTCCGGGACTGCAAGGTGCGTGCTTATGGTGGGTACAGTGAATATGTGGTACATGCGGAGTTCAAGTGCTAGGTAGTATGCCCTGGAACGCCTCGCATGTGGGCTACAGAATGAGTCCTATGTCGGGCATGATGGCCGCAATGCCGATGCCGATGCAAAGATCTGCTTTGCAGACTGATCGTGCGTTTATAGTTTGATCAAATGCAATCAAACGCTCATACATTGTCTGAAGAGATGTCATGGGACAAAGAGTTTCAGTCTCAAGAAACGATGTTGAATGCGCATATTGCCCCAGTTGCAGAATCTGTTCACACCGCATCAAAGCCTACACCGAAAGACGATATGGCACAATTAGCAGCACGCGTCATTGATGCTGTTCAGGGCGAACAAAATCCCAAATTCCACCAGAGTCAATTCATGAGCCTCATGCGTCAGTTTCGGGACGGCGAAGTCATCGTTGAAGAAGACAAGATCGTTCCGAGTGAAAGCAGCACTGCTGCTCGTGTAGACGTCAAGGGAAAGGGGCGTGCAGTTGATATTCCTGTGCGAGAAGTTCAGGAACCTGTCCTTGTCCACTCAGTACCAGCGAGTTCCATCCAGGGTTTTCAAGGTTCCTTCGAATTAAGCGAGGCGTATCACCGTCAACGTGACAAAAACAATAGCGCAAACGATGCGTATTTTCAACAAGAAAACGAGGAGTTCTCAGATTACTGGGATGCTCATTATACAGGACCTGTGCCTCGCACTATATCCGCGGGCGAGCAAGGTTCATGGCATGAACTGCAACGCGATTGGGATGCCTTTGAAGCTACCTCCACGGGAATTAAAGCGTTGGCAAATTACCAATTTCAGGAGAATAATCCTTATCTCCTGGGCGACTCATCAAGGACGCACCATCATGGAATGCACGTGAGTGACGTCCAACGTGCCTATGATGTCAGTCACAAGACGTTTTTGTTTTTCACATGTATGCTGACTGCGCTCCATCCCAAATAGAGCGTGCTCGAACTAGAGGCGGCTGTCCAGCGCGATGGAAACAATGCTGCAGCATGGTATGAGCTTGGCGTCAAACATCAAGAAAGCGAACGTGAAAAGAAGGCTATCCAGGCCCTGGAACGTTCTGTTGAGCTTGATCCGACGCACCTGGGTGCTTGGCTTGCCCTTTCGGTATCTTACACCAATGAAAACAATCGCATGGGCGTTCACAAGGCAATCAAAGAATGGGCGATTCGCAATCCCAACTACACGCATATGGCTCAGAACGCCACTTTGACATCGGCTATTAATGTATCCTCTCCTGGCAATTTTGAGGCGTTGATAGAATGTCTTATCAGTATGGCACGTAACGCTGATGAGGTGGGAGGTGTGGATGCGGATGTACAAGTGGCACTTGCTGTGCTACTAAACACGACAGATGTACGTGCTTGTGATCTCGGGTCGTCTCCATCTGTTTCCGAGAGTGATGGGCTGATTACCAATTTCTCCACTAGGAATATGCCAAGGCGCAAGATTGCTTCCTGACGGCCTTGGCTGTTCGCCCAAATGTGAGTGTTTCAAAATTGAGTTCATGGGCGCGAGACTGAAGCAAATTATTGCCAGGACTGGCTTCTGTATAATAGAGTGGGTGCCACGATGGCAAACAATGGGCAGGCTGAGGAAGCACTTCAGTTCTACTATCGGGCACTGGATCTAAACCCTGCATATATACGAGCGAGGTATCGTGACCCTTTCCTCATAGTTGGTTGTCGTGGATGCTGAGTGAAACACGTCATATGATAGGTTCAACCTGGGGATTTCTTGCATTAATCTTCGGGTGGGTCTTTCTTATTCCGATAAGCTGTGATGCTGTGCTGTTGTTGACGTTGGTTTGACAGCGATACGAGGAGGCACAGTCACACATTCTCGATGCGTTAGTTTTGCAAGATAGTGATGGTGTGGCGGACGATGGTGGCATGAACGACAAGCGTGGTGTAACAAACTCCACACTATGGGAGAGCCTCAAGACGACGTGTTTACACCTTCATAGGCCTGACCTTGCAGCGTTATGTGATAAGAGAGACTTGGATGGTATGTTTTGGGACATCTTTTGATGTTTCTGATAAGGGGCTGATGACAGCTGATGTACAGGATTCAGGAATGCGTTTGAAAGCGGGCCTTGACAAGCGGATCCGTGAAATCCCCGACAATCCGTGCTGTAATGTCTGATTTCGTACTTGGATTTTACTGCGTCTAGCACCGCTTCATCTGTATTTTACCTCGCATTTGTATCGCTAGAACCTATGAGACTATCAGCTCGGAGTAGTTCTTGGGCCAGTAGCGTTTGATTCAAACCTGTACTCGGACCAGGAATACCTGCGCTCCCACGAATACCTGTGCTCGGGGCAGGTATACCGAGCCGTCTATTCCTCTCAGCCACCAATAGCTGGAACCACGGCAAGGTTTCTGGATCGTTTGGCTGGATTGGATGCTCAGCCACTTTTTTCATTGCGAGGAGGGTCTTTTGCTTGGCCTCAAAGCGAGACTTTTGGTCTGCGACGAGGTCTCGAATTTCTTGGACGTCGGCGTCTGACATTGGAATCATGGTAGGCGTGCGTCTGATCATGGTGTAGTCGATAGAAATCACAGGCTGGATGATCTGTATAATACAAGCGCAAGCGCTAGTTTGACGACGTAAACAATGATGAGCGGTGATAATGAGGTACCAAATAAGCGCCCTTGCTGACAACAAGCTGAGACGTGTTCACAACTGTTTGGTTATTAAACCCGACACGCGAAACGGAACGCAACAGCTGAGCCGCAGCAGAAAAAACCTTGAACAAATACTGTACCCACAGACCATACTTTGAACTTTCAACCAACCACCATCCACTAAACAGTCATGGAAGCCGTTCTTCGTGTCACCGACGCCCTCAAGTCTTTCCGGGTACGTAGTAGTACTCTGTATGAAAGGGAAATTTGACATCTAACGCTCATTCAGGAAACCCGCTTGAGCACCCTCAGAACTCCTGCAGAGTTCTTTGATATCCACCGAATTTCAAGACCTGCAGATTTTAACACGGCAGTATCGGTGCGTTTTCGTGGTTTGTGCATACCCTGAGGACGGATGCTGAGAACCGAACTCGTTAGCGACTCACATATAACACTCGGTATTTCTCGGGGAACTACACTCTCATCGTAGCTGCTCTTGCAGTATATTCCATGTGCGTAGGGTCCCAGCCACGAGCTAGCGTTCAACCCTGAACCCATAGCTGACGTCGTCTCCTAGTATTGCAAGTCCTCTCCTTCTCTTATCCCTCGTCTTTCTTTTTGGAGGCTTTGCTGCCATCAACCGTTTTGGTGCGACTTACTCTATGTCTCTCTCCCCTTGACTCGGTGCTGACGTAGGATTTTATTTAGAGGAAGTCTATGGGCAGTTCGTCACCCAAAAGACCCTGTACACAGGGCTCTTCGTGATCGGCATCCCCCTCCTGTGGTTCTCCTCTCCATTCATGACTTTGTTCTGGCTCATCGGAGCATCCGCGTGTCTCATTCTCACCCACGCATGCTTGATTGAACCAGGAGTGGAAAGCGAATATGCAAATATCGAAGGAGCAGTGTAAAATGTCATGGGGAAAGAGAATGAGGACTGAGTGTGCATGTGGTTGTTGTACTGTTTCGAGATTGGACTGTGTCTTTTGTTTCCCGTGAATCCCAATTCCGGTCGCTCGTTCTTATTCGTTGATACCTCCTCGTCTTCAATGTATAGGCGCGTATTTCCTTTACGTACATAGATTGTACAAATCGGAATGGGATGGTCCGAAAGTCAGTTTCATTGTCTACGTTTAGAATATCAGTACTAGGATAATGATTCTATGATTGCAACGGCAGTGCAAGCGAAATCATGTGCAATATAAGAAGCTCATAATGTAATGTACAGAGTTAAGCCATCCTCTCCAAGGAATGCAGTATCTCGGTACAAATGTAGATAGATAGATAAGCGAATCACAATATCATCCGGGTGGGTCATCGGGTCATAGGAGCGGTAACCACTGGCCTTTTGGACGCCTATAGTTAACGTATTGATGGGAGTCAGGATATCACTTACCGATGACTATGCTGGGAAGATCAAAGATGTCCCTTCGTATCGAGAAACAAAAGGTCGAGGGTATCGGCGCGCCGGAGGGCTTGAGGAGAACGCAGTGCGAGTATACTGATTTGGTCGTATTCTCAAAGGCATGAGAGGCGAAGTTTTCCCAGTATTCGACGACGGATTGGTTTTCGAAAAGCTGGCACCGCATCAACGTGATTTCAAGAAAGAGACCAAGTATACGAACTTCGTATATGTACTTGCGCTTTCCAACGAGATCTTCCAGACGCCACTCAGTGAGCATGCAAAACTCGGGTGCGACGAGACAGATTTCGCCGGTTCGCCTCCAGACCACCGTTGGTGTCCCACTGTACGAGATAAGCTTTTCGAGTTCCTACATGGGAAGTCAAGACCAGTATTATGTGAGAACGAAGTAATATACGTACGAGTAGTGATCTTTGGAAACATTTCTCGACGAATACTTCGTCCTCATCCGTCATGGGCATTTGCAGAGCAATAAGTGATGGTCGAAAGATGGCGAGTGCTCGAACAATGCGTAATATGTCATTCTTTTCAAAACTGAACGGTCCAGGGTTCCAGGGGCAATCCAACCCAAGATAATATTAGGATTTGACCACACAGGCCAGGAGCTCTCGACTTCTCAGCACACAGATTATACGCACCGACTCGGGAGATGCTTCATGAGGAAGTGGTAACCTTCGGTATAATCATAAGGCGTTGTTACGTTGATGGCCTGAATGGGAAGATGAGCCAGATACAGCATGAGAAAGTAGACACGAACAGAATGATGATCACCGCTTTGGATCGTAGGTGATGGTGACGTCCGCGAAGAAGACTCGTAGGAGTGAGAACGAGTATCCCTCGATGGCGTGCGTATTACACTTGAGGAACCGAGACTGACGACACCACGCGAATAGTGTGGAGCAAGCTGATACGGAGCTGATAATTGCGGCTGTGGCTGAGCGTAGGAGTATTGGAGCGCTGGTGACGATGTTCGACATAGTGGCGCGGGATAGCTTGAAAGGAAGGTTGGCGACGGTTGAGAGGCAGACAAACTATCCGGCTGCGGCATTGATAACTGAGGCGGATCTCCGAACGGGGAGCCAAAATTGCTTGGCGCTCCCTGAATGTACTGGGGTTGCGCGTGAAGTGGCTCAGGAGACCACGCCGAATTTGGGAGTGGCTGAGAAACCTGTTGCTGTTGCTGCTGCTGTGACGGAGATGGTGCTGTACCGGATTCTGGAGGACTTGGATTACCCAGGATCGCAGAAAGTATGGAGTACTCTAAGTTAGCGGCCTCGGAGCCGAACGTGAAATTGGGATCGAACGACACATTAAAGAGTGGATCGTGCGATTGGAAGGTGTCAGCTACATGCAGTGTCAGAATATCACACGACTAGACAAAAGAGCCAAGACGTGTTACATGTCGGTTGGAGCGCGGGTGCAGGCTCTGAACTCGATTCAGGAACTCTGCCCTTTTTCTTGAGTTGTTCTGTCATAGGCACGTGATCAAAATTAACCGGGCAAGCGGAGATGCAGAGAAGCACGCACGAAGTTCGTCATCGTCGAGAAGATACTTGGCTTTCTTGCGATGGCCTTCTGTACATGTAGAAGCAATTCCACGCTTGACGCAACGTTGACAAGGACGAGCTATTAGAGGAAATATGAAGTTGACATGTGCGAGATCCGGGAAACAAACAGGTGACCTACAATCATCACATGTTAAATGCGCTTTCTGACAGTGCGCGCAGGCACGATTCGCTTTCTTTTTCTTGGGACCGTCCCTGCTCTTGCGAGGAGCTTCGGTGTCTTCATCGCGTCTGCGTTTCTTCAAGGCGACTTTGTCTTTTTGTGTGCGGTAATGAGAAGGGCCTGCCTGCGGTTCTGGAGTGACCATCTGGGAAGGATTCACGTATGCACTAGATGGTGAAGGAGCAGCAGTAGTCACAGGGGATGGGTCGACCAAAGTAGACATTTCTGAGGATGTAGCAGTGAGGATGGAATCTGCTCCCATGAGAGTTGTTATGAAGACATATAATGATCAACAAGGTAGATGTTTAAAGACTTGTAAGAAGTAAAAGGAAGAAGGATTATGACTGTCGGTTGCAAGCAAGGGAAACTTTGACGTCGGCCGTAAACCGATGAGCAACTGATATCCTTCCTTTTACATCATTTCCAATTATTGCCAAGTACATATAATATATTTTTTTACTATTTTGATTACATAATAAATCAAACAGCCGTAAACCGGTCGGCATTGCCGATCACGGACCGGAAACGCCGGACTAACATGAGGCAAAAATTCTATAGGTCTGTTCTAACTTGAACAAAGTTAGAATGCGTACTAGTGACAGTGTGAAACACCTGTTCGCTAGGCTGGTTTCTTCACTCGGTCGTGCAACTGCCACACGCGAATTCAAATGGATGAAACAAGCTTTGATCCCATCTCATTCTCTCACACTTCCCGCCATGCTCCAGCGCAGGTTAAGTGGAGAACCACTTCAATATATCTTAGGTGTGCAGACTAGTTCATCAATTCCACGTGCTAATCACTCATGCAGATCTCTAGGCACTACGCCATTTGGTCCACTTGACCTGCTGACAAGGCCTCCAACATTAATACCTCGTCCAGAGACAGAACACTGGACTCTTCGCCTTGCGGATATGTTATCGCCGACCCCCCACCGTCCGCTAACCGTCCTCGATCTATGTACTGGCACCGGCTGCATACCTCTTTTATTATGTCATCTCTGGCCACCAGGCAGCACTCGCGCTTATGGTCTAGACATATCTAAAGACGCGATCCGCTTAGCCATGGATAATGCTGCACGTTGCAACATTCCATCATCCCAGCCCTCGTCCCTGACTCCATACAGTCAAAACGTATTCATTCCAGTGCTTGGTGATCTCCGTGATCCAGCCATCTTCAAATACCTGCTGCCGCCATTCGACATTATTACGGCGAATCCTCCTTACATTCCAAAACGAGAGTACGACGAGCTTCCTATATCAGTCAAGGATTACGAAGATCCTGCCGCATTGTTGGGCGACCCCCCAGATTCCGAGGAACAGGATGGCCTCACTTACTATCGTCTCATTTCACAGCTTCTCAGACAAAAAGGGATGTTGCGGGACGGTTCAATCGTGGCATTGGAAGTGGGCCGAGCTCAAGCAGATGCGGTCGAGGGCATTCTCCAGCAGTCAGCAGGCTTGCGAAACACGCAAGTATGGAAAGACCCATGGGATGTCAAACGTGTCGTCCTTGCACGCACTTGAGGATACTCACATACACGTGGCATGTCCTCGAGTGATCGACGCTCTTCTAATCTCCAGATGCGCGTAATAATAGCAATCTTACTCCGTTTCTGCCGTGACTCATGACGTCCGAGATATGAAGTTTCTACCGCTTCCCTCGACAACGACGTGGTTGACCTATGATCGAACTATTGATTTGTTCTCTGAACGGAAACTCTTTTCCGGATATTTCGCGGCGACCACACGTGGCAGCCCACATGCGGGGAATACAGACGGAAATCTCCCACTGCGAAGGGTGAGACGCCATGACAATGACAATGATTGCACGTGGCGCTTATGTGGCAGAGCAACCGACCTTGATTGGCGAGGAGAGCCGATTGCTCGTGGTTGATTTCAAGGTTGTCCGCAATCCAAATACTCAGGAGGTAATGGATTTGATGTTACATTCGCAGAAAGCCGAAGTGTAATTCTATAGTGAGTGATCTCATTGTGAGCAGCTTAATGAAAAGTTTGATCAACCCCATGCAGACCCCTCGCGTTGCATATTTCCGCCGTCTTTATATCTCACCTTATCTCATCGCATTCCCAGGCCCCGGCAAGCGCCACATTGTCGCCTGAAGATGTCTATTTTCTATTAGTTGATGCTGAAATCTGGCCTACTTTTAGCTGTTCTCCTGATTGGTGGTGGTGATATCGATGAAGGTTGAGAGGTTTCTTACGAGAGTGAGTCAGAGTATATGTCAGATGAGTCTTCAAGGAATAATGAATCAATACGCAGTCAACAACGTGTTGTATTCTAGGCTTCAGACCACCGACTTTACGACATTGGTTTGGATCCCCTTGTGATATTTGTGCGACATGAGCGCTGTTGTACTCACCACCGCTTACACCATTTCCTCTTCTAACGCCCCCATTACCGCCATGACAGTAGCGCAAATGGACTTTAGAACGTAGAGGGCGACGACAACTCATTGGTTTAAATGGATATACTGGCGCCTTTTTGTGCTCCATTCCGCACCATCGCCAGGAAAAGTCCAACAAGACGAGATGATACAACAAGTATTCATGATTGATTCGCCATACTAGGATCCTGTGGGTTAGCCGCGGAGTCTGTAGCGGTTACAGTGACATCCATTTTCCTCGACAATCAACACAACACCATGGAAGACCATCTTGGTCTGATCGAGATTTTCAAACCACTCCAAAATGATGATCGGAATGATGCATGTGCCACTTCTGTCGCCATTCTCTGGACGTTGAAGTATTTGACAGGGGTTGAGGAAGACTGGTCTTACTGTAAGCTGCCGAGCCTAGTGCCGTTTGCTTCCTATCTTCCAGACTGATTAAGCTCTCTTATATCTAGTTTGGACCCAAGTCGTGAAGCTGTTCGTTGAGTGCTCCTCGACTATCCTACGCGAATGATTGAGCTTCCCGCGCCTTTGCACATGCATCCAACTAGCATTCCGCAGGGGTCGGATCCAGATGCATCACTTCACACCAAGTTT